TCTTTAAACGCGATCATATAGTCCAGATCAAATTGCGATGAATGGTTCAGATTCATTTCTTATTTAAACGTGATCGGACGGTCCAAATCAAACGCGATAGACGGCACATATTAAAAAGAGACGGATATAAATACATCACTTCACACCAAACCCTAACCCTAGCCGCCAACCCTCCCTCCCCTACCAGATAAGAAGAATCGGTCACCAGGAAAGGAGCCGATCACCGCCCGTTGCCACACTGGAGCCACATATGACTGTCAAAAAAGATAAAAAAATTCTCTCAATCGCTCGAAATTTGATTTTGAACAACCCCATAGCTAAATCGGAGCAAAAGGACTGGCAAATGAGCCGAAAACTGCGGGTAAAATCCAGCGACACCACTGCAGAAAAAATAAAAAATCACCTTTGATGAGGCCTTTCCCGATTCCCGTTTCGTGCAATTTTTTTACCATTTCATTCACCATTTTTTTTTCCACAAGTTGACTGAAGAGAAGCACCCAACAACAAAGGTGAGCCGGCGGAGCTGCCGCACCGAAAATCTTCGCTGCCAGTAAGCTTCTGTTTTTTGACTTTTTTTTGCCAAGACCCCTTAACGTATTTTTTCGCAGGGATGAATACAAAACTGACCAAAATTGGCCAAAACTGATTGAAAATAGCCAGCCCGAGGCAAACTACCACCTCAGGCGGCGGAGCCGTCGTCGGAGCACGACGACGCCACCATGCTGGAGTCTTAAAATATGCTAGAAAGGATTTCTAACACCGATTTTGGGTTTTTTAGCGTATTTCTAGGTACTTCAGGCGTGTTTTAATCTCCAGAAAAAAATTTACGGAACCGAGAGACCGCCAGTAGGCGCAACTGAATAGGGTTTTTAGATTTTCTAGATCAGTTCATCATTGTATTTACCGATGATATCATGGTCTATTCAAAAAGTAGAGAGAAGTACGTTTACCATCTGACTTAGGTTTTGCAAGTTCTTAGAGAAAAAAAGTTGTATGCAAAGCTAAGCAAATGTGGGTTATGACTCGAGCAAACTACCTTCCTATGACATATCATATCAAGGGATAGAGTGTCAGTGAACTCCGAAAAAGTTGAGGCAGTGCTCGGCTAAGAAAAATTAACTTTGGTCAAGGAGATTCGTAGCATTCTAGGAATGACAGGTTATTACCCCAGGTTTGTGGAATAATTTTCTAGTTTAGCTGTTCTTTTGACTCGGCTCTAAAAGAAGAACGTCAAGTTCGAATGGAACAAGGACTGTGAAAGGAGTTTTTCAAAATTAAAGAAGCGGTTGACTACCTCACTTGTGTTGGCCTTGCCGAGCGGAACAGGTGGATATATAGTTTATAGTGATGCCTCCTACCTGGGGTTGGGTTGTATTCTGATGTAACATGGAAAGGTCATAGCCTATGGGTTCAGGCAATTGAAGAGTCATGAGAAAAACTACCTCACCCATGACTTAGAATTTGTCACAATTATCCATTCCTTGAAGACTTGACGTCATTACTTGTATAGGGAGACCTTTCATATCTATATTGACCATAAGAGCTTGAAATATATATTCACTTAAAAGGATCTCAGCATGAGTCGTAGAAGATGGATAGAACTCTTCAAGGAATACCATTGTAACATCTTGTATCACCCGGGTAAGGACAACATGGTAGCCAACGCACTCAGCAGAAAAAGCGTTGGTATATTAGCTCACATAATAGTTTCAGAATGCAGGGCAATAGGGGCCACACAACAAGTACAACTTCAGGATCTGAAGAGAGTCACATGTTTGTGTCATTTGACTGTTCAACCTGTGTTGATCCAGAGAATAAAAGAAGCCAAATCCACGGATTCCACCCTAGTAGCCCTCAAGAAAGATATAGAATATAGAGTTAATTCAAAATTTCGAGTCTCCGCTGATGGGTTGCTTAGATTTCAGGACAATGTATGTATTCAATATTACGGTGAGCTAAAAATGGACATCACGATAAAGGCCCATAACTCAAAGTTTGTAATACATCTTGGAAGCACTAAGATATATCAAAATATGCGATCCCAATTTTAGTAGAACGAGATGAAAAGAGATGTAGTCAACTTTATTTTTAAGTGTTTGGTATCTCAGCAAATCAAGGCAGGACATCAACACCCATGCAGACTACTTCAGCCATTACCAATATCGATATGGAAGTGGGAACATATCACAATAAATTTCGTAACAGGATTGCCTAAGTCACGCTTGACACATGATGGCATTTGGGTAATTGTTGACCAACTCACCAAGTCTTCCCACTTCTTAGCTATCACGATGACCGATCCATTGGATAAAGTAGCAAGAATGTATATTCGAGAAATAGTCAGTTACATGGAGTGCTAGTGACAGCAGTGTCCGACAGGACCTCAGTTCACTCTCGGTTCTGGTCTAGTTTTCAGC